AGCATTCTGGTTGTACTTCTTCTGAGACAGATTTGTTCGTTCTTCTGGCAGTCCATGGTGTATTCAATATTCTTCATCAACACCCTAATTCAAAGGCATCAATTCTTCTATAATCTGTCCAGCATAGGTGATCCTGATGGTATTTGAAATACTAGTGGCATACCTTTCAGCATCACAGCAATGCACAAGCCACCACAATCCAACCAACTGACAGATGAATGTGGCCATAAAGATTACAGGCTTGGAAACCCTATGAAGCAGTTCTGCTATGTTCTGTAGGATCGCTATGAGTCAGAATCGACTGCATGGCAATGGGTTTGGTTTGGCTCTGGAATCTTTAATGCATTCTCAGCTCCAGCCTCGTAGGCCTAATAACACCAGCTTCCTTTTCCTGAGCATTTACCAATCGCTGGTCAAGGTGGAAGGCACTGCTGGGTGGCTTGGTCCTAATTCCCTTGCTCTCTTCCAGGCTGGAAAAACAAAATACTCACTTTCCCAGACTCCCCTGAAGTTGGAGGCAGTCATGTGACCAATTCCAACCAAAGAGATGTGAGTGAATGCCTGTGGAGGGAAAGGGTGCTATTTCTGGGAAGGCTTTTGTCTTCCTGCCTTGAAGACCGTTGTGGGAGTTGCAGCAGCCCTTTTATGAGCATGAGGCAAAGATAAAGAGAGATTAAGAGACATCAGTCCTAATTCTCTTAAACTGCTGAAGTAACAGCAGTTATTGAAAAAAATGCCCCAATTGTCTAAGCCACTGAAGTTGGGTTTTTTCTATCTTACAGCCAAACTCATTCCTGGCTGATACATTGTTCTTAGCAATTAACCTACTTAACTCTTTTGCTTCTCGGCAATCCTACGAAGTAGACATTATTATCAGCCCATTTTACCAATGAGGAAACTGAGGTTCAGAAGTGAAGCCACTCTCCAAGATTACAAGGACTGTAACTGGTGGAGCTGGGATTCAAACCCAGGCAGTCCAGCTCCAGAGTTCACGCTATAAGCCACACTGCCCCATTGTATTCCTCTCCAAGCTCTTTCAAACCTCCATTCCTCTGCTGAGGCAGGTCCTTCCACCTGGCATGCCTTCACCTCCTTCACCTGGCTAACTCCCACTTCAGCTCAGGAATCACCTCCTCTGGGAAGTCTGCCCTGATCCCGCAGCCCAGGGGCAGCAATCCTCCCCTGGGTTCCCCATCTTAACACTGATCACACCATGTTCCAATTGCTCCTATTTTTCTTGCGAGACTAGGAGCCACATGAGGAGCCACATGAGGACAGGGACAGGCAAAGCCTGTTCATCTCCGTGCTCCCAGCAGCACAGACCCAGGGCCTGGCAGAGTAGGCCTCTGGAGATACTCTGGAATAAATGAATGAACATATGATTGAATGAGGATCCAGTTAGAGGTCCAAAATTCATGTCACATAACTAAAAGCTGAAGAACTTCTGCGTGTGTGTGTGTGTGTGTGTATGTGTGTGTGGTCGGGGAGGGGGGACATACAACAGAGAGGGTGTTCCGTGTAAGAGCAGGCCTGGGCTTGGGACGGCTAGTTTCACCTCTTCAAGAGGCTACCGTGGGGCACAGAGAGTAGATGTGGAGCCCTCAAAGCCAGCGATTAAAACCCATTTTTTAAAAATCCATTAAAAAAAAAAAAAAAAAGACCTCAGGTCAGTAGTAGGGAGAAGTACTTTCTGACCATCAGAGGTATAATAGGATGCAAGGGATAGTCTTGAAAGGGAGGAGTCCCCCATCAGTGGGGGCGTGCAAGCCAAGATGAGACGGCCTACATCCGGAGGTCACACCCGGAAGGGTTGGAACCAGCAGCCTCCAAGATCCCGTCTGGTCCAAGGTCCTACTGCTCTGTGACCAACTCCAGGGAACTGTAACATCTAAAATCTCCCTGCTGTCCCCAAAACCTCCCCCGATACGCCAACCCCAAGCTGGGAACGGAAGTGAAATGAGGGCTTTGTGAGGCGGAGGATCCTGAGAGCAAGGGTGAGGTTGGCCAGAAAGTACAGAAGGACGGGCTGCGGCTCCAGTCAGACCTATCGGAAAGAAACCCCAGTTCTGCCACTCGATCAATGGGTGACTCGGGCAAGTCCCTTCCTCTTCCTGAACTCAGGAATAACCACGCACAACCCCTGCTGCATGGGGCCTTCAAGAGGGCTCCCACAGATGACTTGCTCCAGTCTCTGTTCATTTACAGGGCTGTTCTTAGTACCATCACAGACCCCAAGAAGCATCACATTCTGCGGCTCGGCGACCCCAGGTCTGATTTTGCCAACTCCCTTCCCTCTCAGAGACAGCCTGTCCAGCACAGCCCCTCACCCGCCACCCCTCACCCCACCCCTCCCACCTCTGTCCGGCCCTGCGCAGCCCCATTTTTCCTGGGGCCAGCTCCTTTCCAGCACCCAGCTCAGACAGGCCCCCTCAGCGGGCCCAAACAGCCCAGCCCCTGTCAAAGGACCCCTGTCAGAGCCTCAAACGGGCCATTGATAGGGCCTTAACGAGGCTGCCCAGCCAATTGCAGTGGCTTAGCTTGGCCGGGCCGCCAGGACTTCCCCAAACCCAACTATTTCCTGCTCCTCGGCTACCCCTCCCAGCCCGCCTGGCCACAGGGCACAATCCCCCTATACATCTCAGCCTGTTCCTCGACTTCTGGCCAAGGGTGCGGGAGAGGAGAAGGATGGGGAGTCACATCAGAGTGTTCAGGGTCTCCTTGGTCCCCCTTGGTGAGGACGAGATGATCCCCCTCCTCCCATGAACTCTGCTCCTAATCCTCACTTGGTGCGGGCCCTCTCAGTGCAGTGGGGGGCCTCCACATATGGGTCTTCACAGCCTGGGGACCCATCCCCTCTCAACAGTCTCCACTTGGAGTGGACAAAAAGGTGCTTGGTTGAATCTCTGTGTGACCTCAAGAAAGTCACTTGATGTCTCTGGGCCTCGATTCCCTCATTTGTGAATGGAGGGGGTGGGAGATCTCTCTCCATCTCTGTTAGATTCAGGTTTAATCAATTGCCTGGGGATTCAATAAAGAGCAAATAAAATCTGTGAAGAACCTGCCATCCCCAAAAAAAGGTGATAACACCAGAAGGTTGACAACATTTCTCGAATCCATCACCTTCTCTCCTTCCCCACAGGATGACTGCACCAGCCTTTTTATGCGTCCCTGCCTCTGGTCTCTTGCTTCCTAAAACACAAACCTGGTGCCATCATTCCCCCCTCCAAAACCCTTCAAAGGCTCTCCCTGCCCCAGGATAGCCTCCATGATCCTTGGCGTGGCATTCAAGGCTCTGCTACATCCTTTTTGGTGCTGGTGACAGAGCTCAACTCGCACTGCCCTTGGTTCTTTGCTGACTGCACTATCAAGCAGAGTACAGCTTAGTGCTAAACCCTCAACAGCTTGGCAACCCCGGGAGAAGAAGATGAGAAGTAGAGAGAGAGATTATTGACGGTATTTGAGCCCTGGGTCCAACCATGCCCGGAGCCAGAATCCCTGGACTTTTCATTTATGTGAGCCAAAAAACATCATCACCACCTCCCCCACTCATAAACTTGATTCTCCAAGGTTTCTCTTTCTTGCACCCATCCCCTTCCTAAAAACACCCTTCTTGGCTGGAGTTAGCCAGGAGAGTTGCAGCCAAAAATCCCCAGAGTATGCAAAGGCCCTTCATGACCCAGCCCCAGAGGCTCGCCAGCCTTCTCTCTCACCCCACCCCACTTGCAGCCACACTGAGCTGCCCACCCAGGTTCCCTCCCACCTCCATGAAGGCCTTACACAGCCTGCTCCTTTGGCCTAGAGCATCCTTCCCCACTTTGCTTTCTGGTGCCTACTTCAGACTCAACTTGATGAAACCTCCTTTCAGGAAGACTTCGCTGGCCCCTCCGTTCTCTGTGCCCCCGCAGCCCCCAGACATTCCATATTGTGGAGTTGGCCATGGGCTATTACACCTGTTTATGGGCCCATCTCCCCCACCCCAGACCTGGGTAACCAGAGGTAGGTCTGACCCATCACGGTCATCCCCAGTGCCCAGTGCAGGGCCTGGCTCCAGGTAGGTACTCTTCCGGTGACAGGAGCCCACACCTGATTCAGGAAACATCGAGGTGAATGCGTGGTACCTGATTGGTGATCAGAAACAGCGTCAGGTCTTGATACTCACTGTCTGGGCATGGCGTGTGTGTGCGTGTGTGTGCGTGTGTGTGTATGTGTGTGTGTTGGGGTAATGCAGGTAGAAGGCAGCTCCCCAGCCCTGCCTACACCATATTTCACAAACCACACCAGCCAGAGAGAAGCTTGTTGCTGCTTTATTGAAATTTCTTCCCCGTCCCATACAAAGCGATTACACAAGGGGGTGTTGGCAGGGAGCCCCTTGCACAGCCTTCTCCCTCTGCACCCCCTCAAAGACCCCAGAGAGCCTGCCTCCGTGGATCAGCTTCCTCAGGGACCCTGGCCCATCAGGAAGCAGGCAAGAAGGGGGGATACTGGGGCCCACGCTGTCCTAATCCCACGACCAAACACAAGCCCCCATGGCAGGGTCTGCAGCCACAAAGGGTTTGCCTGTTTTGACTAAACTAACCTGTGGATTTAGTCCAACAAACAGATTTGTCTGATTTCCGGGCTCAATTTCTGCTTGACCACAGTTTATTGGACAGAACAGACACACCTACAACTGATCGGTGGCAATCGATGATCTGGCCGGTGGATTTGTTTGTGATTGAGCTGACGTCCTTTCACTGAACCCACTGATATTTGACTGCACAGACCACGGGATGACTGAATATGCGATCGTTTGGTTGTTAATGGTGACAACTCTTTGGCAAACCAGTTGGTGTCTGAGGTGACTGTTTTATGATTGAAACAACTGTTATTTCCTGGAACTAGCTGTTGTATGATGGACTGGAAACTGTTTGATCAAATTTTCATTTGAATTGACAATTATTCAGTGACTCAGAGATACTGAATTAAGTAGAATGGGCTACTAGTTGTTGGACTAGATTGAATGGTTTTGGGGTTAATTTGATTTTTTTTTTTTTTTTTGCAGAATTTTATCACTATTATAAATAAAGTGATGGTTGGCTGAATTGATCATTGTCTAAACAAGCTATTTGAAGAAATTGACTATGTATGTGTATGTATAGATAAATATACATACACAGATATGTACTATACAGGTAATATATATAATGGGGAACAGGTTACAATTACTCAACTTAATTGCTCTGTGTAAACTATTCACAAAGCAATGCAATGGCTGTTTGACCAAATTATTTTAATAAATTGACAAGTGTGGTTTGGATTTGTCAATTGTTTGGCTAATTTGGTCACGTTGACAATTGTTTAACCAGGCTTACCAAATTTAGAATGACCCATTGATTAAACAAGTGTTGTAGCTGGTCAGAATAAGCCCAGAGTTGTTGGACTGAATTTTGGAAAGACCCGAGGAGTCATTCAGTCAAAAAGTTTGACCCAATTGTGAGCATCTCACAGGCCCCACAGAGAAGCAGGCCAGCGAGGGGGACACAAGCAGATTGTCCTGAAGTCGGCTGGGTGGTCCACCCAGGCCACAGGGGCCACCAAAGCAAAGAAGCAGATTATGAGGCAGCTCTGCCTCTCCCAGCACCAGGGCTGGGGCCTGGCGAGGGTCACACCTCCGAATAGGGGGGTGGTGCTAGGCCCCCCTCTGGAGTCTTGGATGGCAGAGACAAGGCTTCCTCGTAGGATGGCAGGACCACCTAGAAAAGACAGAGTGACAAGGGCTGAGAATTGGCAAGAAATACCCACATCTCAGTCTGGGGTGAGGGGACCCATCCTCCACCTCTGGTAAAATGAAGGAGTCGATGACGTCTAACATGTATCACGTACTTATCACGTGCCAGGCATCACACGCATGAGATAAAGTGCAGTTCTTGTCCTTGTAGTGGACATGCTTGCTTTTGCCTATTCAGCCTCAAGTTCTCCTTATTCTGATAAAGCTTTATTTTCCTTGGGAAAGCATACGGTTTCAGAAGAACTGATCCCATCCCTCAGATCCAGGAGGCAGATATGTGACCTGGGCATGGCCACTCAAAGTAGAATTTCATCCTTGTGGCTATAGTCATAGGTCTGAGGAAGAGCATGTGATGCAAGTTGGTCCAGCCATACTATTCCTGGAACTTTATTTTTCTGCTGGGCTTGCTGAGAGAGTTGGATGTCAGTCTAGTGGTTTTGGCAGTTATTTTGCAACCATGAGGGAAGGGCTGCTTGAAAATGGAGCTAACACTGAAGAAAGTGAAGTCAAAAGATGGAGACAATTAGATCATGTTCTGGTGTCAGAACTTGGCCAGGCCTAAAGTCAGACCTACGTTCGACTTATAAGCTCCATGAGCTAATAAATTCTCAGTTTTGCCTAAGTCAGATTGAGTGTGTTTCTGCCACTTGCAACCATAAGTCTTGACTAATACAGTCCCCATTTTACAAATAAGGAAATTAAGCCACCTGTTATTTAAACCAACTACACTTTTTCCCACCACTTCTCCAGTCTTCTAAGTAAACCTCATCCTCTGTGCCAGGAAGGCCTCCCCTCCCTTTTCCCAGCTAACTTGTACTGACTGACCATCTAAAACATGGTCAAGTGTTGCCTCCACCAGGAAGCCTTTCTGACACCCCAGATGAGGCTAGGTGGCTCCTCTCTGCTCCCATAGCCCCTGTGCTTCACAGCAAGTTGTAACTGGGTCTCTGTGTCTGGCTTCACTCTGGCCTGTACACTCCTCTAGGATGGGGTGGCATCTTAGTTTTCTGTCCACCCTCAGGCCTCGATATAAGGCTGACAAAGAATCAGGGGCAGTAAACGTTGAATGAATGAATAACATCCTAAACTCTCAGAGCTAAAAGAGAACTCCACATTTCTTCTGGACCTACAGTCATCTTACAAGTGGAGAAAATGAGGCCCACAGGGGGAAGGAACCTGCCCCAGATCACACAGCGAGTGAGTGGCAGAGCTGGGACTTGACCAGGCTCACCTTCTGGGGCATCTTGGAGCTGTTCCTCTCCTCAGCTGAGTTCGTGTACTTAATGAATCTGTAGCACTTCCACACACACTTGAACATGTAGACCTAGAACAAGACCCAGGTCAGGTTGTGCTTTGCTGACCCTCCTTCCCACCACACAAGCAGGCCTGGGGCAGACACCAGGCACTTCCTGAGGGGCACCGCTCACCCTAGAAGGCAGCGTCCAGTTGCTACTGTTCAGATCCCCTATTGTGTTTGGGGGAGGAGGCTCCCCTGCCAGTCGCAGGCATTACAGAGCCTCCCTTTTCACTGTCTACAGACTCTCAGTGCAAAATCAAAACCAAGTCTGTTGCCCATTGAGTCAATTCCAACTCATAGAGACCCCACGTGTGTCAGAGTAGAACTGTGCTTCATAGGGTTTTCAATGGCTGTGATGTTATGGAAGTATATCACCAGGGCTTTTTTCCGTGGGGCACAGCTGGGTGGATTTGAGTGGCCAACCTTTCAGTTAGTAGCTGAACACAAACCATTTGTGCCACCCAGGGACCTGCTCTCAGGACAGGGGGTGCTTTTCAGGGTTCTCACCCCACCCAGCATCTCTGGCAATAGTCCTGCAGGCATTGTTTGTTACCTCAGTGACTGGGAGCTCACTACCTCCTGAGATGGCCCCTCCCATCTTGAGATAGATCTGATGGTGGGAAAGGTTTTCTTCAAAATTGCTGATGGTCTGTTGTTTTCTTAAAACAGATTATAAAATAATGGCTCCAACATTAGCTCATGTTTATAAATGAAGAAAAATTGGATATACAGATGTATGTATCTGTCAAGATGAGATTCATTTTTCCTTTTCTCTTAGAAGTTGGTGTAAGAATTGGGGAGAGAACCCTGCTTGTCTGGAACAAACACAGTGATAAGATTTCCAGGGTGGGGCGTGGAGTCCCAAGGAGCATGCTCAAGGAACAAGAGACAGCCCCCAGACTGCCTCCTGAATAAGGAGAGCATGTCCTGTCATCTGGAAGGCCCCGTGTTTTACAGCATCCCACAATGGGGGCTTAGTTATGTAAGATGGGGCAGACATACATATGCAGAGAAAATGAACAATAAAGGAATAGGCATGAAGGTCTAGGGAAAACTGAGTAGAAGGGAGGAGACCAGTGGGACAGAGTGAAGGGGCAGAGAGAACATTCCCTCCCAAGGAGGATGACAAAATAGAAGAGGGGTGGGGAGATGGAGTTGTGTGGTGGGGCTTGGGGCGTTATTCCCCAGTAGAATGTGACATGTAAACCACACATTGATCTCCCTCATGAAGCCTTCAAGAAAGTTCTTATTGCACACTCATTAATGCACTTGTGCTAGGTTAGTTCTTTGAGGAGGGTTTAAAAGGAGCAAAGGAGCCCTGGTGGCATAACAGTTAAGCACTTAACTGCTAACAAAAAGGTTGGTGGTTCAAACCCACCCAGTGCGAAACAGACCCTGGCGATCAGCTCCCGAAAGATTACAGCCTAGAAAACCCTATGGGGCAGTTCTACTCTGTCACATGGGGTTGCTATGAGTCAAAATTGACTTTACGGCACCTAACAGCAATAACAAAAAGGAGCGAAGCTGTGTTTCTAGGTTGGCATTGGGTGCAAGCGAAGCCGGCTCAGGGCCACCAGCATAGAAGCAAGACTGGAAAGAAGTACCCCCAAACATCAGCTGTGACCGTCCCCAAGTGGATGTGAATGGTGGCCTACTGTCTCCTTGCTGCTCATCTATGTTTTCTAAATACATTTCTACAGTGATCACATGTTGCTTTCAAAACCAGAAAGGAACACTTTTTAAAGCTCTTCCTTCTGTTGAGTTGAGTTCGGCCTCCCTAGGTTTTTAGGCCACAAGCCCTGGTCTGGCCTCTGGAATCCCACAGAACTCCCCTAAATCCTCTTCCCTATGAGAGTCCTTTGGGTATTTAGAGACAACGATCACACCCCCTTGAGCCATCTCTTTTCCAAGCTCAATAGCCCTAGTTTCCTTGACTCCCTCAGGCAGCAGTGTTTCGTGCCTCTTCACCCTCCAGGCTGTGCTGCTATAAGCACATTCCAGCCTGCCACCACCTTTCTAAAAACTGACCTGAAACTGAGCTCCAACCTCTGGGCCTGACCACCCAGAGAAAAATGAGACCATTCCCCTCCCTCCTTCTCATCTGTTAATATGACCTCAGGTCCCATCTACATTTTGGTGCCTGAATCACATTAAACTACGACATGGGCAAAGCAAGATTTATTATGCCCATTTTACAGATGAAACATGAGGCCTAGAGAGGAGAAGTGACACATTGAAAACCAACAGCACAGCTAGTGAGGGCTGAGCTGGGATTCAAACCCACATCTATCTGATTCTAATTCCAGACTGAGCAGATTTTTCCGTCCCTCGGTCAGGGCCTCTCTGGGTTATGCATGAAGTCCCTGACACCTGAGCATGGGCAGCCTTTGCAGATCCCCTTTCTCTAGATGGGGTGTCCCAGAGGATCCCAGGCAGGGGTCCAAGGAGCTGGAGGGGGGAGGGCTGGAGGAAGGAGTTAAAAGCAGTCAGGGAGCAGCAGCGGACACACCTCCCTGCCCTCTAACAGTCTAGCGTGCTTGGCCACTCACCTTTAGAATGAGGACAGTGATGAAGGCGATGGAGAATATGATCATCATCTTGACGAACTGGTTATGAGTCATGCCCTCCTGGCTGGGGAGATAATTCTGCAGCAGATTTAGGGGCCATGTCAGTGCCTCCAGTCACAAGGAACAGCACCCACACCTCCAGGAATGATGAGCCCCTGCTCAATACCCTCAAGGGCACAGTGTGACACATTTACTACCTTGATCAATAGCCACAACAGCCTTTGGAAGCAGGTTACTAGCATTAGCCCCATTTGACAGGCAAGGAAACCAAGTGCAGGGGATGCATTGGTTCCCCATCCGGGTGCCCTTGACCAAGCTGGTGGGTATCAGCTGCTAGTGGACCATGCCTGTGCCCTTCTGTAGGGGATTGCCTTGGTTGATGGGAGCCACCCAATCCTAAGACAGCAGGCCCCCCTCCCCTGCCCCGGGACAGCTCATAGGCAGTGACAGACTGATGGAAGATATATTACCCAGCCCACTTGCTCTGGCTGGGACAACCTCTGTAGTTGTTTTAAAATGTGTCCACACATTCTTTGACACTCCTCCCCTCAAAATGTGGAGGTTACTTCCCTTTCCCTTGAGTGTGGGTTGGACTCAGTGATTCACTTCTAATGATTAGAAGGGGCAGAAGTAAGTGTGCAACTTCTGAGATTAGGCCATAAAAGACATTGTGGTTTCCTCTTTGCTGCCCCTCTCCCTCAGATCACCCACTCGGGGGAAACAAGCCACCATGTTGTGAGGGCACTCAAGCAGCCCTCTTAACATGGCACATGGTGAGGAACTGAGGCAAAGGGCCAACAACCTTGGGAGCTGATCCTTTACCTACTCAAGCCTTCAGATGTCTGCAGCCCCGATGACAACTTGAGTGCAGTCTCCTGAGAAACCCTGAGCCAGAACAACCCAGCTAAGGTGATCCCAAATTCCTGATCCTCAGAAACTATATGAAGTGAAAAATGTTAGTTGTTTTAAACCACTAAGTTTTGGGGTGATTTGTGACACAGCACTAAAAAAACTAATATTATTTCTGTGGTGCAATTCACCCTCCAGGGCTCCCTCTAGGATCAGGCAGGACTGCTGCTGAAGCTACATCTGTGCCTAGCTTCCCCCCTTTCTCTAACTTGCTCCCCTCATCCCCTTACAGGTATCTTCCTGAAAGTTCTGCCTCAATAAATCACTCAAACAAGAATCCTCCTTCCAGGCTTTGCTTCTAGGGAACCTGACTTAAAACACTGAGGCACAGAGAGGTGAAGTAACTTGTTCAAGGCCACATAGCAGTGAGTGGGGGCAGAGCTCTGCCCAGACTCACCATGTGGTTCATGGACTTGAAGTTGAGAAAGGTGGGCACTTCCATGTAGGAGCTGCAGAGGGTCATGATGCTCAGGCAGAAGTCCAGCAGCTTCAGGGTCATCAGTGGGACCTTGGAGGGGCCCTTGGAAGGACAAGGATGAGGAGGAAGAAGAAAGACCAGCAATTAGACCCCACCGGAGAGCCCAGTTACTGCAGTGCACATAGTGGGTCCTCAGCTTGAGACTCTCAGCTAGAGGGCGCATCATCCATTCTCCAGTTCAGCCCTCCATTGTGCAGAGAAAAACAGATGCTGGTGGCAAATCTGGGACTAGAAACAGGGTCTCCTGACTCCCGGCCCACAGTCCTTCCCCGATATGGCCCCTCAGTCTCCACGAGGACAGTAGTCGGGGAAGAGTTCAAAGCAATGTTAGGTAACTGAGCCATGGGTTGGTGCAGCCTTCACGGGCATTCCCACTGTGGACGTTCATCTTTGCCTTTAATCATCTTTACCTCCTTCCTTTGTAACTTGGTTACAAAGGAGGAACGAGACAGGGGCTGGGCGTGAAAGGGGAACTTGCCCTCTCCTGTGGTATCAATTCACATGCAGTGGGCATTTACTGAGTGTTTACCATGTCCTGTTGTTGCTGTTATTGTTGTTGGGTACCAGCAAGTCAATTTCAACTCATAGCAAGCCTAAGTGAGAGAGTAGAACTGCCCCATAGGGTTTTCTAGGCTGTAATCTTTATAGGGGAGCCCTGATGTCGCAGTGGTTAAGAGCTTGGCTGCTAACCAAAAGGTTGGCAATTCGAATCCACCAGCCGCCCCTTGGAAACCCTATGGGGCAGTTCTACTCTGTCCTATAGCATCGCTCTGAGTCGGAATCAACTCAATGGCAATAGGGTTTTTTTGCGGGGGGGCGGTTAATCTTTATGGGAGCAGATCACCAGGTCTTTCTCCCATGGAGCCAATGGGTGGGTTCAAACCACCGACCTTTGGGTTAGCAGCCCAGCGCTTAACCATTGCACCACCACCCTCGTGGTGCAGTGGTTCAGTGCTGGGCTGCTAATCAACTATTTGAACCCATCAGCCGCTCTGTGGGAGAAAAGATGTGGCAATCTGCTTCTGTAAAGATTCACAGCCTTGGAAACACTATGGGGCAGTTCTACTCTGTCCTATAGGGTTGCTATGAGTCAGAACCTACTTGACAGCAATGGGTTTTACCGTGTGCTAAGTAAGCCCTCACTATATATTTTACTCGTTTAATCTTCACAAGGACACATTGAGGAGATGCAAATACAGATACATTTTACAGGTGAAGAAACTTGGGGTGGTTGGGAGAGGCTCAGGGACTTGCTCAAGGTCACCAACTAGGAAGGGGTCAAGAGAGCTCCTAACCCCAGTGATCTGGCCCCCTCCCGCCTCCCCAGACTGGAACTGGGCTCTGCTGGCCGGGAGAGGGCTGGGTACTCACGGCTCGGCTCCGAGAGGCGAACTTGAAGTAGGCAGGCAGCTCGATGTAGGAGCCCAGCAGAGTGAGCAGGCACAGGAAGAAGTCCATGACTTGCAGGGACAGGAAGGGCAGGAGGTACTTCTGCCGGTTCTGAAAGGCAGGTCCAGCATTGTTGGGGTGTCCCTTGCACACTGCCAGAGGACCCCCAACATGTCCCCTCACCTGCAGCTCTCTGCCCTCCCCCAGATAAAGTGGCCCTCTCCCAAATCATCCCCCCCAGCCCGGCTTAGTTCAGGTCACCCCATATGGGTCCACAGTGGCACTCTAGGGGCAGCGAGAAGCCAAGACCCAGGCCTTGAGTCCTGGTGTTGCAGGAGGCGGATGTGTAAGGGAACCGGGCCCGTCTACAGGGATACATGCTTCAGGGGTTCAAGGAGCAAGTCCTGATACAATTTGCTCACAAGAATCTAATAAGGAAGGGCTTTATGTCCATTTCACAGATGGGAAGGGGCCGGAGAGGGCTTCCTGGAGTTGGAGACACCAGGCCATGATCTGGAAAGGTGAGTAGGAGCAAGCAGGAGGGAAAAGGGGCCACAAAAGCCCAGAGGGGAAGACAGCCTCGCTGTGTAGGTGACTGGACCTTCTTCGGCGCTGGCTGCTCCCTACGATGTTGAGCGTGGTAAGAGGCCCTGGCGGCCGAGGCTGAAGTCCCTCTCCTTCAACTAAAGCAAATGCCTACCATGACTCAGTATGAATGCCATCATTGAGGACAAAATCACAGAAAGGGTGGTTTCCTGGTGCCTCATGTGGCTTGTCCAAACCACTCAGGAGGCAGCCGAAACAGCCCAGATTGAAGCTCGGGCCCTCGGGGTCCTGATCAGCATGACCCGATCCATTTTTCTATCTGGACCATTTATTTGTGTTATTGCACAAGCACCCGGGAGGCGTCCTGCACAATGTGAAATCCTCGAGTTTCAAGAGAGAGTGGGTGTGAGCTGGCGGGTGAATAGTGAGGTTTCAGCGCCCCACTCTGCAAGCCCTGCCAGAACCAGGCCCCCTGTCTGCACAGGAAGGATCCTCTTTCTGGGTCCTGCTCCCGTGGCTTCCTGCCTCTCTGGGGGCCAAGGGGCAGGCGGTTCCTCTTTTGCAGGATGTTGAGCCACAGCCTGTCTCAACTCTCTCCCCAACTTCCCCTTGGGCCAAGGAGCACTGGGCAGTCCCTGCCTCTCTGAGGGTCTGTCTGCCCCGGTCCGGACATGAGCTCCCCAAGAACTTTCCAGAGTATGGGTCTCATAGGCACAGCACACACTCGCTGGAAGGAATTGAACCAGACGTGTCTACACTGGGCACTGCTTCAGCATCCTCTCACTCATTACAAATTCCAATGCTTTCTGCCCTCTCCCCATGCCTTAAAAAGACCCCTCCTTTTTGCTCTATCAAAATTCCGTGCTGCCGTTGCAGTTTCAGACGATGTGGGTCACCAACTAGTTCTTGCCAAAGTGTCAATGACTGGCAGCAGCCACTGTGCAGGGCCCTCCACAGAGTCCTGTACTTTAGCCGAGAGCAAAGGCCCCAGCCCAATGAGTCATTGCCCATGTGGAAACGGTTCTCTTCAAGGTAAGTGCAAGGGTCTCGGTGTGCAGGTGGGCTTCCCAAAAGGCCCACCTCCCACCCTCCCAACAGCCAGTGCTGCCCACTCAGTGGGTGTTAACAGAAAGGGACAGCAGGAAGGCAGCTGGGGCTCTGCCACCCCACCAGCTCCTGGCTCCACTCCTTTTCCCCCTACCCCGGCCCTCACCTTAACCACACCGATCAGCAGGCTCAGGCTGATGACAAAGAGCATGGTGATGAGCAGGAAGCTGGACAGCAGGTCAGCTGAAAGACAAGATAGAGCAGTGAGGGACCCAGAGGTGCCCCTGGGCACCCCTACAGGGCTCCAAGGACCGCATTTTGAGAACCACTGATGTAGAGGTACAGTAGTGAATAAGAGCCCAGGTTCTGCCCTCAGGGAGTTCTCAGTCTTCAGGGAATACAAAGACAATAAAAAGAATGTTTCAGGGTGCTGGGGTGGGAGGGCAGAGGGAGCCAAGGAGGCTTCTCTTGAGGAGGTGGCCTGTGAGCTGAGTGACAAGGAGTAGTCCATGAAGTGTGAGGGAAGGGGCCCCAAGACAGGGATGAGCTTGGTGTGGTCAGTGTGGCTGGAGCACAGTGAGGGAGGGAGTGTGTACGGAGATGTTTCTGTGAGGAGTTCTGACTTTATTCTAGTGTGATGGGCAGCAATTGATGGGTTTAAGCAGGGGAGTCCTGCTGTCACCCTTAATAGTTAGTTGGGATTTCAAAGTGTCATCCCATCTGCTTTCATGACCTTGAGACTTGGGTGGGGACAGGTGGACTATCCTCATTTTGCAGATGGAAAACCTGAGGTTCAAAGAGGAGAAAGGACTTGCCTGGGGTCATCCAACCAAGAAGTGGCAAAGCCTCAAACTGCAGCCTGTTTGCCCCAGGTCAGGCCTCTCCCCGCCGCCCGCCTCTTCCTCCCCACCTTCTTCCCCCACACACCTCCACTGGCCTCCCCTGGACTTACCGATCCTGAGGTAGCGTGTCTTCGAGAACTTGCAGGAGGCCTTGCCGTGAGCCACCTCCACCGAGTGCTCAATGAACAACAAGATGCTCATGATCTGGGGACAGAAGAGAGCATTGGTTAGCCAGGGACTGTGCAGCTCCGCCACTACGCCTCCCACCCTGATCATATGCTGTCAGGGGCCTGTGGGGAGGGGACCTGGGGTGATAGAATGCCAGGTCGGTGTGGCCCTTACAGATGGCAGCTCCAATCCTGGTTCTTCCTCTCCCAGGCTATGTGACTTTGGGCAAGTTACTTGACCTCTCTGTGTCATAGTTTCCCCTGTATAAAATCTGTTGCTGTCAAGTCAATTTGAACTCACGGAGACCCTGTAGGACAGAGTAGAACTACCCCATAGGGTTTCCAAAGCTCTAATCTTTATGAAAGCAGATTGCCATACCTTTCTCCCTCGGAGTGGTTGGTGAGTTTGAACCTCCTACCTTTTTGGTAAGTAACTGAATGCTTAACCACTGCACCACCAGGACTCCTCTTCCCCATCTATAATAATACTAGTAACTACCTTAGAAGGTTTTTCCGAGGACTAAATGAGAACATCCAGGACAGCACTTTGAACTTCTGGGTTCTCATAAGCAGTAACTGTTACTATTGAAGGTCAAGCTTGGGGAGGTAGTGGGAGAGGGGAGAGGTTGAGGGCTCTTGCTGGTGACTAAGACCCTCCTCTGCACCTCCTTTTATAACAACAGACTCTGGATATAGTGGGATCTTAGGTCATAGCATCCAAGCATCATAAGAGATTCAAGTTCTTGAAATCATCAATTATGGGACTAAAATCCCAGCTTCTAGGACACAGACTTGGGAGGGTTCTGGAGTGCATCTGACCCCTGAGCCCCACCAGGGTGCCTGTCAACCCCATCCCCCATGAGATCTGGACTGAAGCTCAAAATCAAACAATCGTAAACTCCATTCCATGTGCTGGTTTTATAAGCTCAGAGAGGTTAGGTGGCTTTCCTGAGGACACATGTCGAGTAGAGAGTAGAGACTACAGTCTAGGTCTCCCAGGGCTATCCTGCTTCTTTCCCACTCCCGTTATCCCCAAAACACCTCAGAGCTCCTGCTAGTCCCAACCCCAGAGGGTTCACATATTTTGATCATGCACCTATGTCAGTAAAACCTTTTGAACACACCCCTCGATATATTTTTATTTCTAAATTATATGCCTGTTTTGTTGTCTTGGTTTATCATGAACATCATAGAATATACATGGAAAAAAATCCAGAAATTAATAAAGAATGTGATTTTTAGAAATTCTATAGTTGTCTTAAGGAGCCCTGGCAATGCAATGGTTAAAGCGCTCGGCTGCTAACTGAAAGGTTGGCAGTTCGAAACCACCAGCCACTCCTCGGGAGAAAAGACCTGGCAATCTGCTCCAGTAAAGATTACAGCCTAGGAAACCCTATGGGGAAGTTCTACTCGGTCCTATAAGATCACTATGAGTCAGAATCCACTCATCGGCACATGACAACAACAACAATATTGTCTTCCTGCAGCCCCAGTCATCACTTTGGACATCATCCCGCTTAGGAGACCATTGCTAACCCACCAAACCCCCAACCCCTCAGTCCTGGCCTGAACATCTCCCACAGGTCTGCCACGCTGCGTACAATCCCCCATCACTAGAATCCCCTCTCCAACCCCCCTTCCAAATGGTGGATGGCACCCAGAAGAGAAAGGATTCGACATTTGTATAGCCTGCCTCTATGCCCAGTGCATTATCCACACCATCTTGGTGATCCTCCCACCACCCAATGAGGGGACTCTTCTTAATACCTCACCCCATTTCACAGATGAGGAAAGCAAGGTTCAGAGAACTAGAGAAGCTTGTTCAAGGCCTCCCAACTGGTAGAGCCAGGATTCAAACCCAGGCCAACGGGTCCAGATCCCATTCTCCTCACCCCTCCACAGCCTGCCCAGCGTCTCCCAGCCTCCTCCCATCCCCACTCCCATGTCAGTGATTCTTTGAATCAGGAAGGGGCACCCTTCTCCTATCACCTCCGCAGTTCCCTTCCCCACAGCAAAACCTAAGCATGTGCAAGAAGCTGCAGCAGGCACCAGAAGCTACTTCTACTTTTGTAAAAACCACCCACGTTTAGAAACCACACTCAGCCTTCACCTATTTCATCTTCTCAACAACCCTGTCAAGGGTGCAGGGTCGGGAGTGATTCTGCCTCCATTTGCCAGATGAGAATGCTGGAGCTCAGAGAGGGCAGGGACCTGCCCAAGGACACAGAGCAAGGTAACCTCAGGGCCTGACTCACACCCTCTGCCTAACTCCCAACTTCTGGTTGGAGACACCAGTCCCAGGAAAAAGGAAGGAGGCTCAGCTCCCAAGGCCCAAGCAGCTCCCTAAAAGATGGAGAGGGACTGACATGCCTTGAGCACATATTGTCTGCTCATTCCTGTACACACAGGCTTGCACTGCAATCCCCCAAGACCCTAAAGAGAAGGAATATTACCCAATTTTACAGACGAGGAAATCAAGGCTCAGAAAGAACTCACGTGCCCTGTGCCACACCGTCAGTAAGTGGCCCAGCTGGGATTTGAACTCTGTTGCCTCTGCTCCAGGGTTCAGGACTACACCCAGCCTGGGCAGGTTGCTCTGGGACCAGCTCCTGATCTCACCAACCAGCTGTCCACCCTACCCTGACAGCCAAGCCCAGCCATGGTCACTCAGCACTCAGAGGCAGCAGCCAGGGCATGGGCAGTCTCCTCCACTGCCTCCCTGGTATGTGACCCTGGCCGGCTCTGGCTCCTCCCTGACCTCGGTCTCCCCTCCAGTCAATGAGGAGAGTCACCCCTATCTGCACTCAGGGCCGTTGGGAGAATCAACCACAGAGGATTAAGGAGATCAGTGAGCAGAACTTCTGCAAACCGCAGTGCGTCACACCCAGGCTGCCCAGTCTTCTGCCCTCCTGCCCACCTGGGGCCTGTGCCCTGCTCACTAGAAGTTCCTCGCTGCTCTATCATGGCCCCGACCAAGGGCCGTCTGTAGTTACCGGAAAGTACCTGGCTTACCAGAAGCACGGGCTGCAACTTGTCCGAAAACCCCAAGAGTCTAGATGTCCCAGGCCTCGGGCCCTCACCCTCCCTCATTCCCAACCACTAACCACTCTGGGCCTTAGGCTCCTCATCTGAGAAATGAAGATAATAGCCAGACCTGCCTCATGGGGTTGCCATGCAGATCAAACAACATGCTGTGCACAGATCAGGCACACAACAAAGGGACAGTGTTCATTTATCTGTGTGAGTATTCACTCACTCCCTTGTTTATTCATCCTTAAACATTTTTTGAGCACCTATCACCTCCAGGCCCTGTCAAGATAAGCCACTGGCCCTGGCCTGTAGGCTCTACAGTCTCCAAGGCAGCCCAGTGGGTCAACAGTTATTCCCATGTCCTAGGGAGCTGCTTGGGCACAGGGAGCTGAGTCTCCTTCCTTTCTCTTGGGACTTCTAACCTTTGGGGTCTGCTAACCTCTGGTGCCACAGGTTAGAGACCGGGCAGAGGGTGTGAGTCAGGCTCTGAGGTTGCCTCACTCTGTGTTCTTGTGCAGGTTCCTGCCCTCTCTGAGCCTCAGGGTTCTCATTTGGCAAGTGGAAACAGAATCCTTTCCTACCCAGTACCAAACGCAGGATTGTTGAGAAGATGAAACAGACGGCTTGGGGTCCCAGATGAGGGAATGATCACTGCTGCCAAGAAGTTTCACAAACAGGCAAACCTTGAGCATGACCTTGAAGGATAATTAGTTTTCCAATGGAGAGTTGTCTTAGATATCTAATGCTACTGTAACAGAAATACCACAAGCGGGTGGCTTTAACAAACAGAAATTTATTCTCTCACAGTCTAGGAGACTAGAAATCCGAATTCAGCACACCAGCTCCGGGGGAAATCTTTCTCTCTCTGTTGGCTCTGGGGAAAGGTCTTTGTCATCAATCTTGCCCTAGTCTAGGAGCTTCTCAGCACAGGGACCCCAGGTCCAAAGGACCTGCTCTGCTCCTGGCCCTCCTTTCTTGATGGTAATGAAGTCTTTCTCCTCTCTGCTCAATTCTCTTTTTTATATCTCAAAAGTAATTGACTCAAGATACAACCTAATCCTGTAGATTGAGTCCTGCCTCATTAACATAACTGCCTCTAATCCTGCCTCAATAACATCATAGAGGTTAGGATTTACTACACATAGGAAAATCACATCTGATCCCAAAATGGTGGACACCACACAATGCCGGGAATCATGGCTTAGCCAAGCTGACACACACTTTTGGAGGACACAATTCAATCCATAACAAGAAGAGAGAAAAACATTCCAGGAAGAGGAAACATCATGTGCAAAGGCCAGAGGCCTGGCAGTGCAAGATATATTTGGATCCCTCCAGGGAAACTCAGAGCTATAAATTGAGACAGGAGAACATTATGCCCGTATCGCCAATGGGGAAGTAAGGCCCAGAGAGAGATGGTGACCAGCCTGAGGTCACACCACAAGACTGATGCAGAGCCAGGGCTCAGACTGCAGTACCACCTCCATCCTGGGCCCACTCAGCTCATCCCATTGCCCCCCAAATTCTCTGTTCTCCTTTTTCATCCCTTCCTTCTGCTTCTCCCTGGTTTCAGTTCTCATTCCCATCCCTTCTTTTTAATAACAAACACAACTTCCCTAAGTGGTAAGAGAAGTGGCTATGAGGGAAGGAGAATTGCCACTTCTTTTCCTGGTGGCAGTGAGGCGCAACTAACAGCTCAAGCTGAAAGGGAGACAGTGGGGAGTTGTAGGAGGAAGGGGCACTACTGAACATGGCCGTGGCAATCATGGCACCGCTGGTGAGGCTGAGTGCAGTGGAGGAGATGCTGGTGAGGTGGGGATGACAAGGGCGCCTATGCTGGCAGGTGGAGATTGGCTGTCATGATGTTGCTGGTGTTGACAGTGGTGGTGACGGTGAAGAGTGTGTGCTGGGGGGAGGGGGTTGTGAAAATCGATGACACACTGGATGTGGCAGGGGTGGTGGTGACGGCGGTTGTAGCAGCCGTAGAAATGCTGGGAGGTGATAACT